CACAATCTCAACATTTCAAACATACTCACCTATGCTACAGAATCAAATGCATTTCTAGAAGGCAGTACCTACAAGTTAGTCTCTTTCTCGTCCTGACTTCACTCAACATCACCATAAGGAATCAAGAGAAAGTCAACTAGACACCTTTCAGCAGTCAAATAGTCTAACCAAATAGCCACACCACTTATAGTATTAGATCCAACTTGGTTTATTAACTTAGGGCCTACGCATCATATTACACCTGACAGTCAAAATCTCACACTCAAGAATGAGTACATTGGACTAGAATCACTCCAAGTTAGAAGTGGCCAATGTCTTGGCATCTCACACACAGGTTTGACCTTTCTTCCTTCCTTTTATGTAAACAAATCTCTGCAACTTAAGAACATATTTTGTGTTCCACAAGTAACTAAGAATCTTCTTAGTATATCAAAAATTACACAGGATAACAATGTCTTAGTTGAATTTTCTGCTGACAAATGTGTTGTTAAAGACAAGGTTACTCAAGGTTTTCTTCTTAGTGGCTTCATCCATAATGGCTTGTACCAACTTGACATTCCCATTGGACCTTCTGTCAATAAACAAGATTTGTCTCCCTTTTCAGCATCTTAGCAATTACAAGTATTTGCAACAAAATCACTTCCTCCCACAAAAGCACAACACTCATTGAAGTCTGATCCTAGTTTTCTATATACCTCATCTAGCTCTTTAACTTCTTATAATATGTCTACTATGGTTGAAAATAATCTTGTGCAACCAAAACTTGATAATGAAGGAGATATATGGCATAAACGAATTGGTCACCCACACTTATCTCTACTTAAATCTCTTGTATCTAAGTTGCATGTAAAGGATATTATTGTTAATAAAATTCAGTTCTACGAAGCTTGTCAATATGGCAAACTTTGTCAAACATCTTTTCCTCCCTCCTCCTCTCGATCAAGTTCACTTTTTGAGCTTGTGTTTGCTAATGTTTGGTGACCTGCTCCCATTATTTTTGCCACTGGATTTAGATACTATTTGCTTCTAGTTGATGATCATGCCAGGTACTCCTGTGTTTACCCACTCAAACTCAAATCTGAAGTCACTTTAGTTATCCAACATTTTATACAGTTGGTTGCTCATCAATTTGACAACAAGGTAAAAGCATTTCAGTCAAACTGGGGGGGTGAGTTCAAACCTCTGACTTTGTACTTTGCATAGCATGGCATTCACTTTTGTCACCCTTGTCCTCACACCCATTGGAAAAATGGGACAATCGAGCGCAAACATAGACATGTGACAGAAGTTGGCCTCACATTACTAGCACAAGCATCCATGCCACTTCAATATTGGTGGTTTGCTTTTCACACTGTAGTATACCTCATCAATAGGTTACCATCCCCTATTTTGTCCCATCAAACACCTTTTCAACTACTATTTTAAAAATCCCTTGATTACAAAGCTATTCGCATTTTTGGGTGTCAATGTTTCCCTTTCATCAGACCATATCAACGCCACAAATTTTCCTATCACACTGAACAATGTGTTCTCTTAGGATATAGCTCTCATCATAAAGGTTACTTGTGTCTCAACACTCATGGCAAGGTTTATACAATTCAAAATGTTAAATTTAATAAGTGTTGCTTCCTTTTTGCTCATGAGTTCTCCTTTGGTATTGCTTTTGCGTCTGACAACACTAGTCCACCTACTTCTTCTCAATCATGGTTGATTCTTAAAGGCATTTGTTCTTCTACATCCACATCTCAACATCAATCTACAATGTCATGTTCTCCCTTATCTATCCCAACCAACTCACCTGCATGTGTTTCTACTCCCTTACCTTCTCAACCATCTACCTCAGCTTCTTCCTCTCTTTAATTGGAGGTTGATCTTTGTGCATATGACACTCCAACTTCTCCTCCATCATCTTTATTGCCACCCCACACCTTTGCTCAAAATGTTCACCCAATGATCACTAGATGCAAAGTTGTTGCTTTGGTTAGTTCTGTTGTACTGGAGTCTTACTCTGAACCTTCTTCAGTTTCGTTAGCTCTTCAACATCCACACTCTTTAGAAGCTATGACTACTGAGTTTAAAGCCTTATAGGATAACCAAACTTGGACTCTAGTGGCCTATACTAATGATATGACTCTGGTAGGTAACAAATGGTTCTTTAAGGTTAAGTTACATGCTGATGGTAGCCTACATAGATACAAGGCACGTCTTATGGCTAAGGGTTCCATCAAACACTCAGTGTTGACTATTTTGAGACCTTTTTCCTTGTTATTAAAGCCTCTACAATTTGGGTCATTTTGTCTCTAACAGTTTGCAAGGTTGGGATGTCCAACAAGTTGACGTCAACAATGCATTTCTTAATGAGGATCTCACTGAGCCTGTATACATGTCTCAACCGGAAATTTTTGTTGATGTCTCCAAACCTTCTCACGTTTGCAAACTTCACAAAGCCTTAAATGGCTTGAAATAGGCACCTCAGGCTTGGTTTGACAAACTTAAAGCAGCCTTATTACTCAAGAACTTCTAGAATTCCACTTCTGATTCAAGTCTGTTTTACTATCATCAAGGTGATACTATGGTGTACATTCTTGTTTACGTTGATGATATTCTCTTAACTGGTAAGGACACCTCCTTGATTCAAAAAATAGTGACTGATTTAGATGTCACTTTTGACCTTAAAATTCTTGGCTCTCTCCACTATTTCCTAGGTATATCTATGTCTCCATTGCTTACAGTTTGCATCTCCATCAGAGTAAATATGCTCAGGAAATTTTGACTAAGTTTGATATGCACAACTGTAATCTGTGTGCCACTCCCATGGTTCTTGGTTCCAAGTTAAGCCTTGAGATGGTCCACTCTTCGATCACCTTACCCTGTACAGAAGTTTTATTGGAGCCTTACAATATCTCACTATGACTCAGCCTGACCTCTCCTTTGTGGTAAATAAACTAAGCTAGTTTCTTAAAGCTCCAACTGTTACTCACTGGCAAGCTTGTAAGCATGTCTTACACTACATCAAAGGTACCTTGAGTCATGGCCTCACCTTCAGTATGAGCTCTACTTTTCAGCTTGACGGATATGCAGAAGTGGACTGGGCTAGTACTATTTCTAATCGAAAGTCCACAAGTGGCTGTTGTATTTTTCTTGGCTATAACTTGATCCGGTGGAGTTCCAAAAAAACAACAAGTTGTGGCATTGTCTTCTATCGAAGCTGAATATCGTGCTTTAGCACAGGTCTCCACCAAAGTCACTTGGCTTCAGAATCTTTTTCAAGAACTTCACATCTCTATTCCTGGTATCCCTATGCTCTAGTGCGATAACACCAGTGTAGGTGCTTTGGCCTCAAACCCCGTTTTTCACACTCGCATGAAACACATCGAAATTGATGTGCATTTTGTCCAAGAAATTGTTCAATCCAAGCAGCTGGTTGTTCAATATGTTGCTTTCCAGTTCCAAGTGGCTGATATTTTAACCAAACCTCTATCCGTTTCTTGTTTTCAGATCCTTCGAGACTAGCTCCATGTGTTTGGTTCTTCTCTCTCTGAATTTGAGCTTGAGGGACGATTATAGCATCAAATGCAAGCTCCAAATTCTGAGAAACATTCAGATATGAATGAAGAAAAAAAAAAAAAAAGGAAAAAAATATAGCTAAGATAGCTGATCTTGCATGAATTTGCGTTTGAGGGACGATTTTTTTTTTTTTTTTTTTGAGTTTTAGCTTGAGGGACGACGTTGACAATACTGCCAAGCTACAACTCAACCAAAACGACAACTCTTGTGTCGTATAAACTGGTGATTAAAACCAATACGAAGCCGTTTTTTGACGTAGAAATTGAAAGAAAAAGACAAGTCAGGACAATGAAGTTTTGGTGCCCGTGTTCAACATTAAGTCTTCTTCTCTAACAAACTCTGCAAGTTGCAATGGAAGTTGCAACCTGAATAAAGATTCCAGAAAAATGAGTGGTCAGAGATTAATAGTTTTGCGTTTGTTGAAAATATTATGAACAGTAGAGATAAAGTTTGACAAGGATCACTGTCAAAAAATCTCATTATATAAATTGTAAATCTGATTGATGTTAGTTATGGTACTTGAAAATGATATAAAATTTTTGTTCAATTTTTTCTCTGCCTTTTTCTTTCTTGTTCATACGCTTTTCATTATATAATATAATAGATTTACATTTGTAATCTTTATAAAGTTAAATTAAACAGTCTTATATTATTAAGCATCCTTTTTTTGTCTTTTAATAAACTTGTCTCTCTTTTTAATTGTTTTTACAAACATGTGTTTTCATTTTAATTCTCTCCAAAATTTTAAGTTGAAAGATTTCATCCCATTAATTAATAAGTAAATAAAAATAAAACTTTTTTTTGGTCCTTATTTTCTTCAAACTGATAAAAACAATTTCAAATGAAATCAAGGAATTGTATTTGGAACCAGAAACAATGTTATGTTATATCCTCTTCCTTGGCTAGTTTGCGTAAATAAATGAGATATAAAAACAAGAGACCCAGTACTGATTATTAGGCCTGAAGGCAATACTTTTAGATGAATATTTCAAATATCGTTTGATCTCATGATATATAAATTTAGAAGATACCTTCATATATATAATTCTCAAGTTCTGACGTTCTCATTTTTTCTAGATATTTAAGAATATTAAAATCTAAATTTCAGTAATATTTCTAGCATTAAGAAACTACAAATTTGTTATTTAGCAGTTTCCTCACATCAAGAAATTTGGTTTGAATTTCTAAAACGTTTGAAGTTTACAAGAGAGAATATGTATATATATATATGAGAGAGAGAGAGAGAGAGAGAGAGAGAGGTCCTAACTAGAAAATTATCACAATTTCAGGCATTATGTAAATTTACTCTTATGAATAGATGATGTTCGAATGGTTCTTGATTAACTTGATATAACTGCTAAACATACATCAACATCACAATTACAGTAATTAATTTAATTCCAATATATATGTAACAGTCCTAATCCAAAAGGTGCTATGATTACATTAAGAAAAATAAATAATAAAATGAGAACTTACAAGGCCTAAAGAAACTCACAACCAGCTAGGAATGAACCTTCCGAACCTAAAATGCATTGTCCCTGCCGCTAGGATTGTTCACCTGTAATATGCTAAAGAATGAGTCATTTCTATCTTGTTTTTCTTTCTTTAAGTAGTACTAATTTTCTTAACCATAGAACAACTGAATTGCCTTCATACGAAGACCAAAATAATTTGATATGAAGGCGAGAAATAATGCTACAGAATTATATATATATACGAAGGCGATTCTTACCAACATCTCCAATGTGCACATTTGGACGATTCATCTCTAATGAATATTGCATAGATTAAGGCGGGAAATAATCCGACAGAAGCCACAGCAGAAACCCACAGCAGAAGATCGCTCTCCCACATCTGTAATGCCATCACTGCTATGAATCCATAAGCAACAAAAATGTATCCGATACCCAAAACGATTCGTGCTCGTGGCGCTCCTCCAGGTCTGGGGTCAGATAGTAGCATCCCGAATAGGCAAAACAGAAACCCGAAAAAATTGCAGGCTGCGGCAAAACATGAAAGGATTTTGGCCTTATGGGACAACGAGGTGTTGCTGCTGTACCGAATTGTTAACAGAGTGTAAACTGCTCCGGCTGAGATCGTCAGGAATGTCTTTACCAGGCTAGAATTGTTGGGGTGTGATTGTTCTTCTGGATTTCCAGGCGGAGAAGAAGGGTCCCTTTGGTCCTCAGGATCAGAAGTTGCATTGTATGAGAATGGTGTTGATGAAGTTTCAGGATTTGGAACTGGGGTATTGGCCTGAGTGGATATTTCCTCAGGATTATGTGCCTCGGTGACAGGAGAGTTTTGATTATTGGAAGGCACACCAGGAAGTGAACCATTAGGTTCAGTGAAAATTTGTCCTGGAAAAGCTCTAGAAAACAACAAAGCTTGCCACATATTAATAAACGCGGAGATCCAATTTCTATCTTTATAATTTTTCCCACAGAGACTGATCTCACATTGAATTTCTTTGTGGCTGCAGAACCAGTAGTGAGAAGACACTGCTAGCCTATTAAGAATTCTACTCAGCTCTTCTGGGTCAATAAACCCATCCCTTGTTACATCAAAAAAGGAAAACGCCTCTTCAAGGCTAATAATCTCCTCAAGCTCATAAAGTTCTTCTAAAGAAACTTGACCTGGAGATTGGTCAAATTCAAAATCCTGAGGTTCTTCTGTTTGACCTGGAGACGGGTCAAAATAGGATTCCATGATAGCTAACATAGGGGTTTGATGTTTACGTTTTACTCTCTCATATTGACAGAACTCACATTGGATTTGTATGTTGAAACAGGAGCAGAGAATTTTAAGCAAATGGCAAATATAGATGAACAAAACATGGAGAGATAAAAGAACTTTACGCAGCTCCTCAGCGACAATCAACCGAAGCCCATAATGTATTTCTGGCAGTAAACCAGAATCAGAAGACTCGGATGATGTAATTGAAGAAGCCATTGATGAGAAAACAAGAAAACTCAACCGCTATTAATGTACTAGTTGAGAGAAGTCTCACACATTGTAAACATCTAACAACATGCGTTAAAAGAATGACGGCAGCTTGGAACTTCCGCTTGGAAAGGCCACAAGAAGTTTCTTAGAAACCACTCCTTGACACTGATACCTGAGAATAAATTTACTTGCAGGACTGAGAAATCAAGAGAGATGGATTTGTTTAAACTTGCTTCTCATACCATTGGGAGAATTTTATAGACTACCTTTAAGGTTTTTAAATTTACATTTGGATGACAATTTTGACACTTTTTACTAGTAGACCCTCGGTGTCTGAAAACTGTATCATGATGTCCCTTTGCGGCTTTGCCCTAAATTCGTTATTTGCCGTTTGTGGTAGATGAGTGAAATGGTAATTTTGGTCTTATAAGAAAATGTTAAGGTAAAATGGTAACTTTGGTCTTATAAAAAAAATGTTTTTGTAGATCTAACGACAATGTAATAAAGTCAGTGCAAAGGGTTAAACTTCGAGGGTCCATTTTTATGCAAATGGGTATCAGTGATATAATTTTCAAACTTTGAAGATTCATTTTAAAAACTGCGAAAACTGTCATCTGAATTAAAATTTGGAAACCTTAAAGGATAGTTTAATATTTTCCTACACCACATTTCACCAATAGCTTAAGCTATTAATTAAGTTCGTATGGAGCTTGAAATCTAACACTTTTGGATCAAAAGGCATGCTTTTTGTCTCCATGTATAGACTCATCGATGAATTCAAGAAAGATTTCGTTAACTCCAAAGCCAAATAGTCCATCAAGAATGTAATAAAAAATTGTTTAGTTGTACATACATATAACAAGTTTCATCATGATTGTTTTCAGTTTGAATCAAGAAGCCGGGAATGAAGAAGATGGGCTTGACAGAAGAAAGTATTGATTATTTTAGTTTCTGTTCAGAAGTTTCTTCGAGGCGAAAGCTGGAGAAGAAGTTGCTGATAATCGATTTGTTTTTTTGCTACTTTGCTGCCTTTATGCTATTATTAGAAGCTCGAGAAGAATGTCATGTTCCCACCGTCATTTTTAACGGAATTCCTACACTGTTTCATCCCTTCGTAATCTCCATAATCTTCTCCTTCACTGGTGCATTTGGCGCGTTGTTGATAGAAAACAAACCCCACCTGGAAAAACTTCGGAGATGTTACTTCATAGTTTCATTGATTTCCATGGCTTCAGCTTTATCAATACTGTTGTATGCCTCGTTTTCAGGCATATTTTTCAGATTGAAATTGATGGAGCCATCGGTTGAGTTTGTGAGAACTTTTTGCAGTGCTTACTTGAAGCCATGTTTAGATGAACTGATTTGGATTCTCAATTGCAGATCAGCTAGTTGCCATGTAAGTAATTTTTAATAATCAATACTTCTCCTTCTCTTAAGCTTCAGAATTTATAGGGATAGAATTTTCCTGTGTAAAATGCAACTAAACTATTTATTCTTATATGTTCCTACTGTCTTCTTATATTGTTTCTAATTCTTTCAATTTCAAATAATAATCTCTCTTTTCGAAATCCTCCTGGCAGTTGATTGGTGTTTTTTATATGGTTTCTTTGTTTTTACGGTGTTCTGTTGCTGTGACTGTCGCAGCCCAAGAAGTTATTCACTTGTTTCTATTAGACATTCTTGGTGATTTTGTAGTTGAAAAGCCACCAATTGAATTTATCGTAAGAGCCCCTTCACTTGCACCACTTTAACTTCTTTTCTTAAAAAACATCTTGAAATTTTTTTAGTGTGAAAATTTTTAAATGGGGGTGGGTTTTTATTCGTTTGATGGGTACGGGTACACAGTCTACACAGCTTCATGAATACGACCTTAATTGAGTTGCATGTTGGGCTAACCATGCATGCACCCTCCCCTTATAAGCCGGTTTTAAAGGGTGGGGAGAGAAAGACTTTGTTGGAGTGCAGTTGGCGATAAACGGAGGAGTGTTCCTAGTCTTTATGAGGTTGATAAGGGTATTGGGAGGTAGGGGTAGGCCAAAAACCCGATACGAAAAAATAGATTTGAGTTGAATGGTATTTCTTCAGTCCAAGGCAAAATGGTCAGATAGGGTATTGGGGGTATCAGCATAACAGGTACTTTATGAGGAATATATTAGTTCATATTTTTGAACTCACCCTACAAGAGAAGTCCTTGTGCATNTTAGTAGGAGAATATAGTATAATTAAGCATGGGAGATGTTAGTCCATATCTTTGCATTCATAATGGCAATGTATATAGCTTATTTAGTTGTCTTATGAAAAATTTATGAAATGTTAAAGAATGAATTCCATGAGTCTCTTGAGGTATAAACCAAGATCAGAAGAATGAAATTCTTATGGAAACCATGAGTCCTTTGAGGTGACAACCAAGAACAAGGTAATGGTTTAAATGAATCCGATCGGATAACAAAGACTAATGAAACCATCAAGTATAAAGACAAAAGAAATAAGTATGCCATGTATATGAATATTTCATAAGTCATATATGTTCTATGTTATATTATGTATGGTTATGTTGTGTCTTATGTTTATGAGAAGAGTCCAAAGTGTATGATATGTTTTATGAACTTATTATGTCAAAGAATGAAGGTCATGTTTTGTAGGTAAGTAAGGTCCTAAGTAATATATTTGTATAATGAACCTTAATAGTTTATAAATAGCCACATTCCTTACCGAGCGATTAGCGCTCACCCCACGAAATGTTTTAAAATGTTTTGCAGATAAGGATTAAGGCATGAAGCTGATAAAGGATTCCGAGGGATGCTATGAGCATGAAGGGATGTTTTAATTATGACTATTGAATGGTTTTGCTAGTATTTAGTGTAATAATTATGTTTATATCTCATAATGCAATAAATATGTCCATGTTATTATGGAATATATATGTTTGTGTTAATAAAGGAAATCAAATTGCTAGTAAATTTTGTAAAAGTGTGTATGTTCTCGTAAGTACTACTATGGATTTCATAATGTACTCCAAGAAAGGAAACTATATTTTTTTTACTTGTACAATGAACTTATTATAGTTTAGAAATTAAATTAAATTAAAAATATATATATTTAAACTACAAGTTTATTCTTTAAATAGGATTTTAAAATAAACTTATTTCCTAGGCATGCGTTTTCTAGGTTCTCAATGGCCAAGGGATACTTAGGAAATACCCAGCTAGGGAGGGGTTTTACAGCCAAGTTACAAGAGGTCACGAACAACGAACAGAGTTACAAGAGCTTGGTATTCAGAGAGAATACTAAGTCAGTCTCTTTCCCATAAGTTGTCTTTGCTATTTGTTTTTATGAGAATCAGAGATCCTGCTTTTGTGAAGGGAGTCCTCTATTTATAGCCGCTAAGTTCAAGGTAATGATTACAAGTCTACAAGTGGGTAGGTGTTGTGCAAATCATTCCTTACGTCTCATTGGCTGATAACTTAGGAAATATCCTTATATTATATGGGGCTTGGATAGCTGTGCGGACCTTATTCATTCACAAACAAAACTTGAGCCTGCTAAGTTTGTAACAGCTGTATTCTGTCTATCTTGAGTCGACATGGCAAATTCTGGACAGTGTAAAGCCTTCCTGAACTTTGATTGGCGTTTGCTGATGTAAACTTACGTCAGCCCTAATTTTTTAGACATAACAAGATGAAATCTCAATCATATCAACTAAACAATATTTATATAATTATATATCAAAATTGGACTTACAACTAACAACACTTTAATGATTGCCATTGCCAATAATAAAGTTGGATCAAAGGAAAAGTATTTAATTTTTGAATCTTGTGTTTCAACTGATACCGGTATTGATTCCAGAGGCTTCACCGCCATGAGGACCGGTAGGCTTCTTGATGTCCTAAACTTGCCCTCTACGACGCATTACTGCCTTCTTATGCTTAGTCTGCACATTACAAAAGAAAGTGATTTAACATTTCAGGGGATTAAGAGGATACTACAGAATAGTATGAAATATTTGAAAAATACCCTCTTTTCTTTCTTGGATCCTTTAATAGCTTCTTGCGTGGATGAGTCAAGCCTCTATTCTTCACCATCTGTTGATGGAAATTGGTAGCAAAACAAAGTTTAAAGTTTGAAAGCAATGAAGGAAAAACACAAACATGCAGATAAAATGACTGTGTCCTCACATGATATGTGATTTGCCGTTTTCCGTCCACAGTTTCAGGCAAAGATGGGGTCACTTGAGTCCTGCAAAAAAAAAAAACATGCTTTCAGATGCAAATACCACAAATTGTCAGTATTAACATTAATTGATATATTAACAGTAAGGGTGTAGTTGATATTTTTTAATGTTCAAGATATGCATTAACAATTGAAGCATAGTGTAAGAACAGACCTTGTATGAATCTCAACTTTAGCAGCAAGTTTTTGAGCTCGTTGTTGTTTCACTTGTTGGTAGAATTCATCTTCCGAGTGTTTTGTATCTTGATCCTCTGAGTCACCCTCATCATCCTTTGAGTTGCCACCATCTTCCTCAGCCCCAATTGTGCCAAGTTCATCCCCACCATCATCCTCAGACTTAATTCCAGCTCCTGATAACACTTTGAGCTCATGTTTTCTCCGCCTTGCTCCAATATCATCTCTCTTAGGTAAATCATCATCACCGGAAACAACCCACTGAAGAGGAGTCAAATTTTGTCACGTGTGAATTTCAAGTTCATAAAATTTTATGAGAAGGCATAAAAAGAAGAGATGATATAGTCAAGTGTTATATACCTTTGGTTTATTTGGTTGACCAATAACAAGTTGGGAATGTTTATTCGGGCGCAATGAGCTTACATGCCCATTACTCTGTCCATCAACATCCATATCATCATTATTAAAATCATCATATGTTTCAAGTTGTTTGTTCCATTCCAAGTACAAAGCATTAGTTGCCACAATTTAAAAGAAAAAAAAACTTAGGGAACATCAGCTCAAAGTAGTACCCATTCACTGGTTTCGAATGTTTCCTGGCTTTATCAGGCTTCGGAGCAATAGTTCTAAAGACTCCCTTCTGCTTCAATTTTTCCTCTAGGGCAGCCCTTACTTTTAACATTTCCATGCTCTGTACACCAACTTGATCATTCTGACATATTTGTAAGTCTCAAAATTAGCACATAGCAAAGGGCAACAACAGAAAATATAATGCCATAGATCAAAAGAAAGGGTAGGGAAAAAAGATCAAGCAGCCAGGTCTGGAACACAATATTTCACCTTACGCTTGCTTTTCCCTCCTTTATCCTCATGATCCCTCAGAGACTCCTCCTTTTCTAACTCATTTGCATCAGAAGTCTATGGTATTACAAGGAAAATAAAGAGCTTACAAGATTGACTTCTAGAAGGAAAAGTGTAAAATATGACAGACAAAATTCAATTTGCAACTGCCACTGGTGGTTGTTTCATCTCAGTTGATGATCTTTCCTGACAGAATCAGATACCATTACAGCATTTTCTTTAACCAAGTTTTTCACTGTTTCAGAGCCGGTATGGTCTTTCTTCACAATCTCATCAAATTCAGATGAAAGATTTGCATCAAGTTCTTTCATCTGTGAAGTGGAACATGAATCAGAGATTGTCAAGCCTAGAAAAATAACTGCCATGCTATGGGAGAAGAAAAAATTTAAACCCATGATTATAGAGAATAATTTAGGCTATATAAGGAGAGCAGAAGACCTTATCTAGCAAACCCTTGATCTCTACAAGGCGAGCTATGACGGGATGATCACGAACTGGCTGCCCTTCAGACTTGAGAAGAAGATAAAATGTTATGGCTTGGCAATAGGCCAGTAGAAGAAGTTGCTTCACCTCCAGATAATGCACCCCACCTTCCAACTTGATCTCCTGCTCTTTAACCTTTACAAAGCATCAAAGTAATTACCATGTTGAATACAAAGGAATCAATTGAATTACTTGCCCCTAAATAAACCAGCACAGAAACGATGAGAAACTTGATTATGTATAAATTGTATAATTATAAGGATTTGTTCAAGTCAAAAGACTTGACACTACACAGAGCAACATAATGTAAAACAATAATGCAATATTTGCACAGACAAACGAGATACTAAAAACTCAACATGACAGAAAATTTTCCTACCGAGTAGATTCAAAATGAAGAGATCAACATCCCAAGACCTGGTATTTGACATTCTAAGGCTACAGAACATCAAGAGTGACATAACCCTTCAAACTGATAAAAAAAACACTCAAAGAATAATACCTTGCTTAAAAGCGGATTAACTTTATTATCAAGTTGTGCAAGTGCATTGTTCAACTCTGACAGCAAACCAACTAATTCGGGAGCAGAACTGAAGCCAACAATTCAAAAGCATAAGACACAAAAAGGCAACAGTCATAGATAGAACAATTTGTAATTAAAGCATTGTTAGTAAATAATGGAATAAGCTAAAAATCAAACACCTAAAGGCACTAGAGTAGACAATGTACTTGTCCCTTAATTTCTGTATATCAGAACAAAAAGCCTACTCCAACTCAACCATAGATGAAGAACATGCCCTTCTAACTATTAAATAGTGTCAAATAAACATAAAACATTGATGCATCTCCTTGGAATAATGATAATAAACTTTACAAACACATAATTGCATTATATTTAATGTTTTACAGCATATTTTGCTGAAAGACCACTTGCTTTTAGCACATTTGTGTTGAAGGATACAAGTGTCAAAAGCTTGCATTCAGTTGGTAGTATTGTGGAAAGATGAAATCCTGTTCTTAAAAACTTTATCCTAATAATTTACATTCTTATCTCATAGATTCAAATGATAGACAAATAACATTTTTTTTTTTATAAGAAACTGATAAAACGTATTAACAAAGCAAAGCACAATTTAGAGCTCACATAGATTATCTATATGCTTGTATGACACAGAATGAGAATGATGTAGCAAACCCCATTTACTATGGAAGGCTTAGTAGAACAGAGTTATTTATAATGACTTTCTTATTAACTTTATCACCAGTACCAAACAATAGATAGACCATTTTACAATTTTTTTTTTTTCAAATTAAGGTTACCTGTATACTACATCCATTTGCTCCTCCCTCGACAAAGCATTCAAATCTTTCTTGACCTCCTCATAAGTTGTATCCACATCATCCACAGCTTCTTTGTTTGCTGCAGAGACTGTTTTGCTTTTTCCTTTAACCGAGATTTCCTATATAACAATATGTTATGGTAACATGTTACTTACGAGAACTTAACATTCATACTCCAACTTTGAGCTACATTATTTTTAGTATTGAATTCCTTTCACTTAAGAAGGAGACAACTGCTAACTCAAAGAACAAAATAATATGGAAAACCCACCTCCAAGGTTAATTCCCTATCACTCTCATCTTCACTGTCAGTAGCATCTTGAAGGCCAAAATCTTCCATTTCTAAAGATTTTGCTCTCTCTTTCAGCATTCTTACCACCTCTGCCTCCTCTTCTGCAGGTGAGTCATCATCGCTTGATTGCAACTATAAAATTATTAGAAAATTAAAATTAAGTCAAAGACAACTTCAAAGCATAGAAGAACATGAAGCCATGAAGTTATAACGCTATATAGGTTAATCGGCTATCCAGGTACTAATTGGATACATAAATTCAGGACAGCAGGGGTGAAAGATAGTTATAACCATAAACATAGGTATAAAATCCTAACCTCAAAATCACGATTGTCACCATGATAATACTGGCTCTTCATCCCACCCCATAAAGTCTTCTTATCTTCCTTATCCTCATCCTCATCATCATGCATTTCATCTTCAACTCCACCAAATTTTGCCCGCAAAAATTTTTGTTGCCTTGCAACTGCAGATAACAGAAGATGCTATAAGTGATCCAGTGAAAAAATATCTTTTAGCCTGGTGTTCTCTCCAAACAATTATAAGAACCCATAAGAATAGGAAGAAGAAATTGTTATAGCAAAGATTTGATGGAGTTGCAGCCAACCATTACAAGTCCAAGTGAAGAAACCAATTCTGATTTAGCATGCAACGCAATTTAGACACATTTGGAAGCTTGATTAGCATAGAAACTTCTTTCATAATTTTGAAGGGCCATCTTACAGCAGCCTTTCTAAAGCGGCCATAAAGGTCTTTCCTATGTCAAAGCTGCAATTCAGCAGCCCCAATAACTTAGCCATTAAGCCCTCTATCATCAAGTTACTTGTTATCACTGAGTACTGGTTTCAGTTCTGAAACTTTTTAAATAATCATGATATGGAACAACCAATGTAAAGTCCTGATTATTGAAGCATAAATAGTGAATTTTGAATGAAAGGTTTACATCCTGCTTCAAACTACAAGTGAACATGGTCATCAGCCCAGAAGACCAGTCCAAGAAAAAGAAATAAGCAGGATGAATGGGACCAGATGCCCAACGCAGCAGAATTTTATGGTAGCCAAATTTCTTGGCTCTTAAGTTTTACACAAATAACAAAGTTTAAGCCAGTTCAACTTAGCTCAAAAATATCAAACCAAAACTTATGTGTGTGTTAGTTAATAAATCTTTAAACATAATCCTACACTATGAATGTACCCAAATGTGTTGTCCTGTGTAAACAAAAAAACCAATTATTGTGCTAAAATATACTCATCTCATTAGATAAAATAATACATTAAACATAACCATAGAAGCATCATTAAATCAATAGTTCGATCACATTAAAATCAATGAAACTAGAAACAAAATGAAGTTTTATTGTTATGATAGTATTGAGTAAGTACTAAAATTTAACATAATTCAAAACATCTTCCTTACTTTTAGCAGCCATTCCAGTGTCTCGAGCATCATCATCATCATCCTCATCATCATCCTCATCCTCATCCTCATCCTCGTCATTACCCTGTAATCCGACAACAAGACGGAATTCTCAAAAGTGACCAAATCTGCTTTGGATTATTTGGTCGTCAGATGGTTAAAACGTGAGTTAAAGATGATTTACTACCTCAACATCAAAGACCGGATGTTCATTATCTCCATCAGAATCCCCAACATCACCATTTATATCCAAAGGAATAACATCCCTTTGCTTGTGAACTGCAAAAACAAAATAAATTAAATCGCATGTCTTAAATTCTCAAACAACATCTTTACAAATCATAAACCAACAAAAAGAAAAAGAAAAGTATATATATATATATATATATATATATACCAAAATTACATTATATAGACAACTTTAAGAATTCAATAAAATGAAATTTACAGGTATCAATTTCATCATCCATGTCTTCCGGATTAACATCTTCATCACGCGGTCTTCTCTTCGAGCTCTTGCTGCCCTTTTGGCTCCTCCCTCTCTTACCCATGATTCCAACTAATTATATAAACAAATACGCAACAAACACAAAAATTGACTTGTCTTTCCTCACTAGTCAAGTGGTAAGGTAAGGGGCTATTCAATGAAGAAAACAGACTTTTGGAAAGTGGTTCAGATAGTTCAGCTAGTTAGAGCAAAGGACTGAAAAAAAACTTGTGTCAGTGGTTCGAATCCACTTCTAAGAGGACGAAAGGTCGCCGTAGGTGAGGTAGCCGGGAGCGAGCTTGGAAATTCAAGTGAGAGAGGAAGAGCTTTACGAGTGCAGCTGCTCCGCCTCTGTTGATGGTTTATCTACCAGAGGGTTTTTGCCGCTAGGGTTTAAGCAAGGTTTGATGCAGAATAAACCCTGATTCAAGGTTTGATTTTAAGAAAAATATCATTTAAGCAAATGGGTTGTAGTGTCACTTTTGAAACCTAGTGGATCGTACTTTACTTTACTATACATCAGGGTGTAAGTTGTCATATGATAATTCTATAGTTATTTATATAATTTTTTAATATTTTTTTAAGTTTAATATAACATTAAAGTTTAGAAAAGAGGTGATTTATAGAAAAAATTTTGAGTAATAGAAAAAAAAATTTCGGAAAACATAACATATTCTTCTATAGGATGGTTATAATTAATTAAATTAAAAAATTAAAATACTTATATATCATTGATGTACATCACTATTATAATTTTCATATCATATGGCTAGACATATTTTTTTAACTTGTAACATTACACAAACTAATAACATAAAATGTTACACCAATAACGCGTGTAATGAATAACGTTTTAGTATAATCAGAGTAATATATATCAATCAGTTAAATACAATTATCAAAATAGAGTAGTGTTCTATTTATAAGTTATATACAAAATTTAATATGTCATTATTCTTCTAACTATATATAATTTCTCAACAATCTACAATACATGAATTTCATGATTTGCCAATGAGATATTATATAACACGTTTGTTACAAAAATAATACTAAACTTCTCAAGTGAAATGTCGAATTTCCAACCATAATGATATCTCCTCTTATGGGCTTTGATCCGTAAACCAAGAGTTGACATGGTAATGATATGCTAAATAAAGACTACACATTACTTGAAATGAAAAATTTGGAAATTTAACTTGAAAAGTGAAGTAATATCGTTGTAATTGGGTCTTTTTGTTTTATTATTTTGGATAGGATTTTGGTAATAATATTGGATAGTTGAATAGGGGAATATTACGAGGTAAAATTTAAAAATTTACAAAAAAACACACTTAGGTTTGCGAATTTAACTAAAACCCCAATATATAAAAATTTTGTAAAATGACAAAAACACCCCCACCCACCCGCAGTGCCAGATTCCAGCCACCACCGTCGAAATTTGGCCGAAAAATAGCGTTACGACGTAAACCGGTCTGATCTGGTGGGTAGATCTGGCTGTCAACGGCCGCAAAAGTCCAGACCTAGCCGTCAGCGATGGCCAAAGCTATGGCCGTCATTTTCGGTCAACAATGGATCTAGCCGGAAAAGGTCAGATCTATCCATGAATTACCGACCAGTTTCGATCATTTATAGGTCATTGTGACAGATTCCGGCTACCACTGACGGTGGTTGTTGGAATCTGGCAAGTAGAGGTGGAATTAATGGGCCGGGTTAGACAGGTCAACCCTTACCCGGCCCGCATTAAAGAGGGCTCAACCCGAATCGCCTAGTAGGCGGGCCGGGTTGAGCTCGACCCGCATGCAACCCCCAGGCGGGCTGGGTTGATATATGGCAACCCGACAGGCCGTGGGTTGTTATTTTGTCATTTTTTTGAGCAACCCGCCGACCCTGCAGGTTGACCGTTAAAATTTAAAAATATATATATTTTTTTTTCAAATACCCATTTTACCCTTGAAATATAATAGTTTTATAGCAGTTTGAGGGGTCTTTTTCGTCATTTTCATTTCCCATTTTTTTCCTATAAATTGGCCCTAAACTCTCATATTTTCTCACATCCCAAATTCTCTCATTCTCTCATTTTCTCTAATCTCTAATCTCTAATTATTCTCTTTGTTGACATTTTGTTCTAATTTTAATTTTTATTAGTTTTTGAATTTTCAATTCATATTTCCATTATTCCATATTCCAATTCTCCTTCTTTGATTTTTTATTTCTTCTATTTCTATATAATTTTTTTTTTAACTACAATGGATAGATATTACTCTTCCATCAATTTCGATGATGAAGAAAACTATCACAGTCCTGCTGAATTTGCTAACATAAATGTAGCAGATTCAAATAGTCCTGCTCTCTCAGTCTCAGAATCCGATACACCTCAAAATATACCCATGATTCCTCCCCATGCTGCTACAGCTCCCGATGGTTCTAGAAGTCGTCCTCGTAATCGTCGTACTCGTCCAACTTCATCTCAACAAGAAGTGGATTCATCAACTACTGTCGGAACCGAAGACAAACACACATCAGACGTGTGGGTACATTTCGAGAAGTTTTATGAGACAGAAAATTGAGTTCAAGTGAAGAAAGCAAGGTACAAGTATTGTGGAAATGTTTATAAAGTTGATTCAGGTAATGGTACTAGTTCTTTAAAAAAATATGCTAATAAACATATTGCTCAACAAGGAAATAGAGAAATCAATCAAACTCAAATAACTAATATGGGTACTACTTGGCGTTATAATTCTGATGTATATAGGGAACAATTAACTTTATATATTACTGCAACTGATCAACCTATTAATATGGCTGAAGATAAATATTTTGAAAGATTTATTAAAAATTCATTTTTTCCAGTATTTAAAAGTTATTCTAAAACTGCAACTAGAAATGATTTAATAAAATTGTTTGGAAAAATGAAATTAGAATTAAAAAATAAAATACATAGTTGTCATGTTAGTGTGGCTCTAACTGCCGATATTTGAAGTGGTAGAGCTAAACAAGATTATATTTGTGTGACTTGTCATTATTTTGATAATGAGTGTAAATTAAATAAATCTTTATTAGGATTTAGATTAATGGATGTGGATCATAGTGGTCAACAAATTTACAATAAAATTATTGCTACCAGAGGGTTTTTGCCGCTAGGGTTTAAGCAAGGTTTGATGCAGAATAAACCCTGATTCAAGGTTTGATTTTAAGAAAAATATCATTTAAGCAAATGGGGTGTAGTGTCACTTTTGAAACCTAGTGGATCGCACTTTACTTTACTATACATCAGGGTGTAAGTTGTCATATGATAATTCTCTAGTTATTTATATAATTTTTTAATATTTTTTTAAGTTTAATATAACATTAAAGTTTAGAAAAGAGGTGATTTATAGAAAAAATTTTGAGTAATAGAAAAAAAAAATTTCGGAAAACATAACATATTCTTCTATAGGATGGTTATAATTAATTAAATTAAAAAATTAAAATACTTATATATCATTGACGTACATCACTATTATAATTTTCATATCATATCGCTAGACATAATTTTTTAACTTGTAACATTACACAAACTAATAACATAAAATGTTACACCAATAACGCGTGTAATGAATAACGTTTTAGTATAATCAGAGTAATATATATCAATCAGTTAAATACAATTATCAAAATAGAGTAGTGTTCTATTTATAAGTTATATACAAAATTTAATATGTCATTATTCTTCTAACTATATATAATTTCTCAACAATCTACAATACATGAATTTCATGATTTGCCAATGAGATATTATATAACACGTTTGTTACAAAAATAATACTAAACTTCTCAAGTGAAATGTCGAATTTCCAACCATAATGATATCTCCTCTTATGGGCTTTGATCCGTAAACCAAGAGTTGACATGGTAATGATATGCTAAATAAAGACTACACATTACTTGAAATGAAAAATTTGGAAATTTAACTTGAAAAGTGAAGTAATATCGTTGTAATTGGGTCTTTTTGTTTTATTATTTTGGATAGGATTTTGAAAATAATATTGGGTAGTTGAAAAGGGGAATATTACGAGATAAGATTTAAAAATTTACAAAAAAAAACACCCTTAGGTTTGCGAATTTAACTAAAACCCCAATATATAAAAATTTTGTAAAATGACAAAAACACCCTCACCCACCTACAGTGCCAGATTCTGTCCACCACCATCGAAATTTGGTCGAAAAATAGCGTTACAACGTAAATCGGTCTGATCTGGCGGGTAGGGCATCGATATGCCCTTTTCTGACGGATCTGGCCAGAAAAGGCCAAATCTACGGCTAGATCTGGCCGTCAACGGCCGCAAAAGTCCAGACCTAGCCGTCAGCAATGGCCAAAGCTATGGCCGTCATTTTCGGTCAACAATAGATCTAGCCGGAAAAGGTCAAATCTATCCGTGAATTACCGACCAGTTTCAATCATTTATAGGCCATTGTGACAGATTCCGGCTACCACTGATGGTGGTTGTTAGAATCTGGCAAGTAAAGGTGGAATAAATGGGCCGAGTTAGACGGGTCAACCCTAACCCGGCCCATTAAAGAGGGCTCAACCCGAATCGCCTAGTAGGCGGACCGGGTTGAGCTCGACTCGCATGCAACCCCCGGGCGGGCCGGGTTGATATATGGCAACCCGGCAGCCCGTGGGTTGTTATTTTGTCATTTTTTTTAGCAACCCGCCGACCTTGCAGGTTGACCGTTAAAATTTAAAAATATACATATATATATATATATATATATATTATTATTTTTTCAAATACCCATTTTACCCTTGAAATATGGTCGTTTTATAGCAGTTTGAGGGGTCTTTTTCGTCATTTTCATTTCCCATTTTTTTTCCTATAAATTGGCCCTAAACTCTCATATTTTCTCACATCCCAAATTCTCTCATTCTCTCATTTTCTCTAATCTCTAATCTCTAATTATTCTCTTTGTTGACATTTTGTTCTAATTTTAATTTTTATTAGTTTTTGAATTTTCAATTCATATTTCCATTATTCCATATTCCAATTCTCCTTCTTTGATTTTTTATTTCTTCTATTTCTGTATAATTTTTTTTTTTTAACTACAATGGATAGATATTAACTCTTCTATCAATTTCGATGATGAAAGAAACTATCATAGTCCCGCTGAATTTGCTAACATAAATGTAGCAGATTCAAATAGTCTCGCTCTCCTAGTCTCAGAATCCGATAAACCTCAAAATATACCCCTGATTCCTCCCCATGCTACTACAGCTCCCGATGGTTCTAGAAGTCGTCCTCGTAATCGTCGTACTCGTCTAACTTCATCTCAACAAGAAGTGGGTTCATCAACTACTGTCGGAACCGAAGACAGACATACATCAGACGTTTGGGTATATTTCGAGAAGTTTTATGAGACAGAAAATGGAGTTCAAGTGA